ATTGTCGCTAATTTTATTATATTACACATTAATTATATGAGCATATGTCAAATTTAATACAGAAGCATTATATAAGCCATAGCTTGTATACAAACATACAAATAATTCATAATTAATTAATTTTCAATTTTATTTCATAAGTCCTTCTTGAATTTTATCTATACTTTTTATATACCCGGTATTTTTTTTACTATTCAGTTGATGTCCTCATTTTAAATAATCTATGAGAGTATACATGAAGAGCAACATATACATTTAATAGCCATATTAAAAACCACATTCTGTTATACAATATACATTAAAAGTATAAAAGAACAGAAAATATGTTTCATACATTTTAAAAACATGCAATTTTTAAGGGTTGTGCAACAACATTCATACAGAAAACATGAAAACATTAATTTTCCACAAATAATAGTTTCCGCTTAATTGTTTTTTTTTTTTTTGCTCTTTAAAACTTTTGATTTTTCACAGGAAGAAAAGAGGACAATAATTACAAACAAACAATTATTTTTTTTTTATTTTATAGGAGCTAGGTATAAGTATTTAATATTTGTGTGCTTTGTACAAAAATTGTCATCACCAGTTTTATTTTTTTTTAAATGCATAGAAGATTATGAGATAACAAAGAAAAGGCCTTGTGGTTTTTAAGAACTTACACGGACATTCACATATATGTACAAAGGAACAATATTGAGTATCTGAATTCTAAATATTTAAAAGAAAATAAACGGCATATAGTTGAAAAAAGTTTAATGAAACCATCATTTTTTAATTTCACACCGTATAGGGTCAAAAAGAAGCTAAAAACAAAATTAATCCCTTAAAAAAATAAACAAAATCGAAGGAGTGTTAAGCGGGTTATCCATATCACATGTGCTTATCATTAATGTGTTATACATAATTCATTTTTTATGTGTTATACAATATTCTAAGGTCAATTATTTCCAATTTTACTAAAAGCTTTTACTTTTCACCGGTTGCCACTAAAAGTAAATATCACATATTTTGCCAATTGCAATTAAAGCAAGTCTTAATGCTGAATTCTATTCTATTGTTTGTTTAATGTAAGAAATTGTAATACCTAATAAATTGTAACTAATAACAAAATAAATTAAAGAACCATAGAAGTTGATAAAATCGAAAACGATAAGCTTATCAAACGCATGAATGACATTTATGTAAGTAAAATTGGTGTTCATTGATTGTCAACTCTAATTTTTTAAATGTCAAAATAAAAGCATTAGAAGTTTTCGAAAATTGATAATCCTTGCGTTGTTAAGTTTGTAAGAACTTGCACTTATATGAAAATATTACTCCATCTAGCGGAATAAATGTGCTTAACTATTTTTTTATTTATATTCTTATGGCATATTTAGTTCAAACTTTTATACACTTGCAGTATTATGAAACAAAGTGTTATATACTCTCAAATAGAACGCTATATTATTATTTGCCCAATATTAAGGAACTTTTTTATTAAGGAGTATTAAGAAACTTTCTTTCTATAAATTCTATCTTAAAATTTGAATCTGCAATTTATTATTATTATACCATATCTATAAGTGACGTCGACACACATAACAGATAGATAAGAAAATTTATGATACCATCATAAAAAATTAATTCATGTGAATATAATAAATTTTGTTTTGAAAATAGGTCGACTTGAAAGAGCAACGTATTTTTAATTTAGTATTAAAGAATTTAAAAAAAAAAAAAAGCATACAATTTTTATGAAAATTAAAAGAATTTTCCATTAAAATCGGCTTGAGTTCTGTTTTTTTTTATGTAACTAGATATAGAAATTTCTATTTTTTTTGCTGCATACAGATAGTTGAACAATGTATTACAATGCATGTTATACATGTTTGTACACTTAATATTGTATTTAGATACATAAAATGCAAATCTTCCTATGCAAGTACATTATTTAAGGATGAGTAGAATAATTTGTTATTATAGAGGAACGAATAAAATATGGGATGTACGGGTACAACTGGCATAAATATTTAATTTAAAACTTTGTCGCATTTTTAAAGTCCTAAAATATTTCAAGCTTGAATGTAGAATGAAAATTAAAATTTTTTTTTTTTTTTGGAAAAACGATCACTCATTCAATAAATTATTCAACTGAATAATAAATTTTTCAAATCGATGTTTTTTTTTATATTTTCATAAAAATTTTACAATCAGCTTTATTGGGAATATTTTATGTTACATATAGTTTTCAATACGCACTGTTATTGATTAAAAAAAATTTTTCTTAAGAATGTTTAATATTAAAAAATTACAAAAGAGAAGATTATTTTGAAAAGACTTCATTTCTTATAATTCATCTGCTCTTTTCTATTGACTTACTTCAGAAAAATATCATAATAAAATGTGTTTACACAGTTTTCATATAATCTAACAATCAATTAACTTATTAAATATGATGAAATTGAAAAAACTCTTGAAGCCTAACCTATTACAAATGTAATCCAATTCATCACAAAATTCATAACTAAGAAATTACAGTTCCAGACAAATAGATATTCTCGCTCAAAACCGATTCTTTTTGTGTCGCTCATATTTGTTAATTCTTATTGTATATTTTTTGAAAACTTGACGTGTGAAATTTATTGTGATCACTGTTCCTCCCTTCATATAATGCAGTTGTAACAGTGAATCATTACAGAAAGATTTTAGTTTAAATTGTAAGATATTGTGTCTTTATGAAGTATAAGAGATTGGTGTTTGTTTCTCTATTAAGTAAAATTCTCTTATATGCTAATGCAATCAATTATTGAAAACAATTTTACATTTTTTATTCGAAATAAATTTCTTCTGTTCGAAACACAATTTAAATTTTAATAATATTTACGCATGTATACATAATAAATTTAATGAGTTAGTAAATTATTAATTATTTGGTCAGTGCAACCATTGTATACATAAATGAACCTTGTTTAAGTAAAGTATATGCAAATAAAAAATGTAAACTCGCATGTAATAAATTTACGAACATCTTATATAAATCATTATATATACATACAGCACAATATATATATATATAACGTATTATAAAGTATACTCGTAGGACATATTATTATCGGATTTATATACATAAATAGGAGCTTATTTAAATATTTTTGTATTTAAATAGCCTGTATTAAATAACGTACGTACAATATTATATAGCAATAACGTATGAATTTATTTATGTATGTATGTAAACGTTATTGCAAATGTCATGCAATTTTAATAATGGTAATTTTATAATTATTATTACATTATGATATAGATCGTAGACTAAAAGGATTAACATCTTTTGGTTCGTTTATTATACGAAATATTGTGGAATAATTAAATTAATTAAAAATTATAAAACTTATTTTATATATATAATCGTGTTGCGAAAATTTACTCGTATATTATTTAAAAAAATCACATACAACTAGAAAAAAAAAAATAAAAAAAAATACTGTTGAGTAACAACAAAAATTTTACTGTTAATAACAACATTTTACTGTTTCTATAGCCACTAGTAGAGTGTAATAGGAAATGTGTAAGTGTTATAATGGTAAATATTACTGTTTATCACAATCCAGCAATTTTTACGACATATACCTACTAAAGTGTTTTGTATTTTTAAATTTTCATAAGAGCGTTTTTATAATTGAGAAATAAATTCAAGACAGAATTAAAATTTCTTCATTTACTTGGTTTGTAGAGCAAATTACTGTACAAATAATAGTGTAACAAATTTGCAATCATAAATTGAATAGGATGCACTCATATATACAAAAAAAATATATAAAAAATTATAATTATAACAATTAAATTATAACAATATTAACTTAAATTGATATAAATCAATTTTAAATCTGAGCCGAATTTAAATTCATATTGTAGTGGCGAATATATTAGAGCTGTTCCTTAAATTTAAAATTGTATTTTTTAACAAAAAATATTTTTATTTGCTAGTTTTTAACATTATTAATTTTTTGAAATTTCCAGATAGAAGCTTGTATATTGAACTTCTTCCTATTAAAGAGTTAAAATCTTCTCGAAAATCTCTCTTTGAATGCATTAGGTTGAATTAGGATAAAAAAATAGTGCGGCTCAGATGTTGCATACATCAATAAAATTTTCAAATTAGTATTTTTTAAAGAATTTTTTCAACCTTCATGTACAAAATCCAAAAACAATTTAAAACAAGAAGAAACTTATATAAAAAGAACACTTTTTTTTTTCGTTTCAATTATTAATTGTATATATACATCACATTTACACACACAGGTAGGTACTTAAATAAAAAATTCTAAACAATTTATTTGGCATTTTTTGTTGGCAAAAACAAAATGAGAAAAACATTTTAAATTTTAATCGTTGCTATCGTCATAATCATTATATACGGTTGTTATTATTCTCACTTGCCACTTATATATTGCAAGGATTCTTTATACAAAATCATCCATCTTTTCATCATGTAAAAAGGAAAAAAAAATAAAGACGCACTTTACAATATTTCTTTAATTTGAAAGCCCATTTGATATAAATGGGTGGTTTTTCTTTTCTTTGTTGTTTTTCCTTTTTACATATTATAAGCGCACCTCATTAAACCAAAAGTTTAATTCAAAGATTCATTAAAATTAAAACTCATTAAGGATTAAAAAACAAAATTGTTTTTTTTTTTTTAATAACTTTTTATGTTTCAATAATGGCAAAACAAAGCAAATATTATTTTTGAATAAATTGAAAACAAGATCTTTATATGATGAGAACCTTATATGCATATACGACCATAGTATAGAGGTTCAAGTGCATAACATGTCCTTGTTTTCTTGTCTTTTTTGTTTTATTCTTTAAGGACGATGCAAAATCGAATTATTTTGAATAAATAATTTCTTTATATATAAATATAAATAATATAAATAAAAAGCTTATAGTTTTTTATTAGATATGAAAAATATATTAGATCTAATAAATTACAAGGTAAGAATCCAACAACTTACAGTCGCAATAATATTATATTCATATGTATGAATGTATTTTGTTGTATGGTTATAATTCTTCTATGAATTTTTTATTATTTTTCTTATATTTTTATATTTAATGTTTTTTGTTTTATTCTTATAAATATATTAAATATTTATACACATTATTATATTATTTATTTATTGGGAAAAAATAAAATTTAAATTTTATTGCAAATTTTTCACGTCCGAATGAAAAAGATTTACGTCTCAGACTAAATTCATCTTATGGTGATATCAACTTTTATATGGTAAGGATATCGAAGAAAAGCTTTTACTATCAATAGACATGGCAAAATTATTGTGTCAAAACAAATTCAAGAAATTTAACTAAAGGAAATGACAAAAATTTTTTTTTGAAATTCAAAACAAATTGAATTAGTTTTGACGTTATTCGAATTCATAAAATTAAAATCATATGGGAAAGTTATTTCTAAAATTTTGAGGGTATTTTCAGAAATTTAAAGGGTATTTTCTAAAATCTTGAAGGTAATTAAATTTTTTGCTGCACGTTATCTGAAATAAAATCTAACTATGTAAATTTAATTACTTAAATAATTATAATATGACATTTTTCATTGTCAAATATAGTTTCATCATTAAATTCATACACTTTTTTAACGCAAAATGTAAAAAAAAAAATATTACCATAATTTTCATATGAAAATTTGCAATTATAACTTTAATTTGTTCATTTCAATTATTTTACGTTCAATTTTTGATAAATGTTAGGTACTAAGTATATTGACTCTCATTCTCATATTCTTACAATAATTTTTCCAAGTTTGTATACATAAAAATGCGCATGCTTCATTTTTAGCATTTTTACCTTATTGTAAGTCTCCAACTTATACAAATATTACTCCTTAGTGTTTATAAAACAAAGTTTATCTTCAAAACATTTCATTCACATTACAATAAAAAAAAACGTATGAAGTTCATTCACATACATATCTAAAGAACACATAATATTATGTTCTATATTATGTTAATTTATATTATGAAAATATGCTTGCATAGATGTATATGACGTGCCTATCAGCCGTTCAATATTGCAATATACAAATATGTATGCATATATAAATTGCTTCTAGCATGAGTAAGATGCGTGTTTATATACATATTTATGTATACATACATAGTATATACAAATGTGCACTATATAGTTATTTTTCAATTTTTAAAAATTATGGAAAAAATTTGTTTCAAATTTGGTTGATTAATAATTTATAATTATTATCGTTACATTTAGTACGATAAATATAAAGTTCCACTTTTTTTAAGAAGCATTTTAGGATATTTGCTCTTTGATTGATAGTTTTTACATTTATATAAAAAATACAAATGCCAAAATTTTGGACAATTAAATTTATACGTTAATTTTTATTTCTCTGTAACTTTCATCAAAGTTGCAAAGATTCATTTCTTATCATTTTTAAAATTAAATTAAACACGAATTCCGGTTCTCTTTCAAGGCCAATTTACCCTTTCAACTGCATTCAATTACACTATTATTAGTAGCCGATAGATGGCTTCAATACTTTAAATGAGTCATATACATAATAACATTAATCGCGATATTTAAGAAATATAAATGGAAATTTATAATGAAATTCAAATTTTAAATTTTTTTTTTTATGTAACAAAATTTCTAAACATTAAACTCCACTCACAAACTAGTTTTGATTCTCCTTTTCATGTAAATGGAACGAACAAAATGTAGATTTCGGTTGTATTTCGCATTACGGACAAAACTAATTTTTGATTTACTTTTTTTATTCACATTTGAGTTTTTTTGTCTAGTCACATTTGAGTTAGTCTAGATGTTAGTTTTAAAATAACTTGGTAAAAAAATAACTGATTTATTTTTTGACAATATTAAAATAAAATATGTATACACATGTTGATATTAATGCAACTAGTCAAAAAACTAAATAAAAATTTTTGGTGCCAAAAAATCGTTCATGAGCTGAATTTGTTCTGGTGAAGTTATTTTATTTTTATGACGTAGATATAAGTATATTCCCCAACTCAAAGAAAGTGTCATTCGTTATTTATAAGAATGTCAAAAATTTTATAATAATTTTATAATAACTTTATATAACGTCTACTAGCTTTAACAAGATTTGATCTCATACGGTTGTCATAATCCAATAACAAATAATAAATTATCTACTTCATTCTTCTCTTACTCATTATAAAAATACTAAAATTTATTTTTTTTAAGTTAATTTTTTTAAATATGCCAAGAGAATCAAAAACTAGGATTTCGGCTATAAAATAGCTTGAATTACTGTCAGACTGGGTTTCATACATCTTTATTTGTTTTTCTGAACTTGAAAATCGTTAAACGCGTAAATGTAAAACACAAACCAATAAACCTTAATTTGTATATTTGTTTAAAGGGTAAATATCGAGTATGAAATATAAATTTAATTTTCAAAAGTATTTATGCCTTAAATTACGAACGCACCCATTCTCAGCTGATGACAAATGAATGAGCTCATGATTTATTATTTAAATAATATATATATGTGGTTGTGCACTGAAAAATTAAGTGCTGTCAGTTATATTCGGAAAATATCAGACACAAAGCAACATAAAAATATTGAACTCCAGATTAAATATTTCATATTTTTTTTATTAAAATGTCGAAATTGCTTGCAGTTCCTCTAAAAAAATCATCGGAAGTTGATGTTATTAAACCTCTTACGAATTTAATTAAAAGTGCTTATAGTGATCCAAGTTCTCAGAATGTTCATTATGCTGAAGCAGTTAGTGAATTTAGTAAACAGAGGGTATGATTAATTTCCGACTTATATAAAATGAATTTCTTTTTTACTTTAAACAATCAAGTAATATTTAATAACCACATTTGTCTTCTTTTTTTTTTTTTTTTTTCGTTCAACAGAATACAGCAATTTGGAAATTTTTTGAGAAATATGAAAGTTCTTTAGATATAGTGTATTCGTAAGTTTTTATTAATTATGAGTCATTGCTATTTTATTTAAAAAAATTATGTTTTCAGGTATTATGACCAACTGTGCTATTTGGAAACGAAAATTCCTGTGCATGAATTACAGATTCCGTTCAAATGGAAAGATGCTTTTGATAAAGGAAGCATTTTCGGCGGCCGTATGAGTTTAAGTAAGATATTTATTTAATTAAAATTTGGAATTTTAAAATTTAATTAAAATTTTTATTTTTTATCTTAGTTTAATGCGTATGTAGTAAATTTTAGTAATTTATTTTAATATCAACTAAATAATTACATAAATTTTCATAAAATATTGCTTGTTTTTGGTAATTCTTAATTTTCAGCTCAATTTTTTTAATTCCATTTAACAAATTTAAAATGTAATTTTTAAACAGTATTAAAAAGGATTAAGTTATGTGTTTGAAACCTAAAATGAATGAAAAAATTGCGAGTTCAGTATAAAAAAAAGAATTTATATACCAAAATTTTAAACTTACAATGAATTTTTATTTTTTTTTTCTAGCTCACACAAACCTTGCATATGAAAAAGTATGTGTATTGTTTAATATTGCTGCTCTGCAAAGTTCTATAGCAGCTTCACAAGGAGTTGACAGTGATGAGAGTTTAAAATTAAGTGCAAAATTATTTCAACAAAGTGCTGGAATATTTCAATATTTAAAGGGAGCTACCCCTGCTGCAATTCCATCCGAGCCAACACCAGATTTGAACCCCGAAACTTTGGGTGTATTAAGTTCCCTAATGTTAGCCCAAGCACAAGAAGTTTTCATTACAAAAGCTATTAAAGGTAAGAAAAGAAGCATTGTTAAATCTTTCTTTATATTGGAATCAAATTAAACTTCTTTTTGCTTCAATATCACAGACAGTATGAAAGATGTTATTATTGCAAAACTTTGCTGCCAAGCTGAAGAACTTTATTCTGATGTTATGCGTGGTATGCAAAAAGATAATCTAAGAAATTTGTGGGAAAAGGACTGGATTCCAACAGTAGCTGGAAAGCAAGCCGGTTTTCATGCAATGTTCCAATTTTATCAAAGTTTAGTTTGCCGAGCAAGCAAAAGGGTTGGTGAAGAAATTTCCCGTTTACAAGAGGCAGTTGAGCTTTTCAAAGCTGCTCAGTCTAGATCTGGAAGCCCAACACTTTTTGAAGAATATTCCAGTCGAGCACAAAGGAACTTGACTGAATCTAAAAAAGATAATGATTTCATTTATAACGAAATGATACCGGATATCAAATCTTTACCGTCACCTGGAAAGGCACAATTAGCTAAAGCTCTGCCGATTGCAGCACCAATGAATCCAAATCATCACGATATATTTTCGGAGCTTGTTCCAGTTGTTTTACACCAAGCACTTACTGCAGCTGAAGCTCGCAAAAATGAAACTGTAAATTCAGAAATATTGAAATTACGTGAAGCAACACAAACTCTTAATGGTGTCCTGGCAAGTTTGAATCTTCCAGCTGCAGTAGAAAATTCAGATTCTGGTTCTGGTTTACCGCCATCTCTTTTAGAAAAGTCTAATGACGTGAAACAAAAGGGCGGAATTGATAGTATCAATAAATTTATCAAAGAATTACCAGAATTATTAACGCGTAATCGTGAAATTTTGGATGAAGCTGAACGTTTATTGGATGAAGAAAGAGATTCAGATAATCAATTGCGTAGTCAATTCAAAGATAAATGGACCCGTATCCCATCTGAGAAATTAACAGAAATGTTTCGATCTAACACAAAAAAATATCGAGAAGTTATTAATAACGCAGTAGAAGCTGATAAAATTGTAAGACAAAAGTTCGAAAAGCATGTGAAAGGAATAGAACTATTATCTATGAGTGGAGAACAAATCAGTGAATCTATTCCATCAGGGACTGGTAGCATAAATACTAATTCAACAACTGTCCAAAAATTAAGATCATTAATGGAATCTGTAAACCTTAAATGTTAATATTAAATAATTTTTACTAATTTCATTTTATTTTCTAGGTTGAAACGATCAAAGCTGAAAGAGATGTGATTGAGTCTGAGTTAAAATCAGCTACTGTTAATATGAAGGAACAATTTTTGAAAGCCTTGGCTCAAGATGGCGCAATTAATGAGCCAGCGATATCAATTTCGGAAATTGGAAAAGCTTTGTCACCACTACAATCACAAGTTCAAGAAAGTATTGAACGACAAAAAACATTAATTGATGATATCCAAAGTGCTCACAGCGATTTTACTGCCGAAACTGGTAATACAGGAGGTTCTCGTGAAGCGTTATTCTCAGAATTAGCATCCGCTTACGATAGCTTCATAGAATTGCAAGGAAATTTGCAGGAGGGTACTAAATTTTATAATGACTTGACTCAGTTACTTCTCGTTTTTCAAAACAAAGTATCAGATTTTTGTTTTGCTCGTAAAACCGAAAAAGATGAACTATTAAAAGATTTAACAACACAATCAAGCCGTCAAACTCCTGGACCTACTCCATCAGTTCCTTCACATTACTCTTCGACTACAACAACAGGTAAATGTCGTTAAAGACACAGCTGTATTGTTTTTTGTTTTGTTTTTAAAATTTATTTCACATTCTTTGGAAGAAAAATGTAAGTTCTTGCTACCCTTAGTAATAAAGTTTCGTAATTGCGTTATCATTAAATTTCTTTTAAAATGTTTTGAAAACTATTGATTGCTTAATATATTAATTTAAATAAAATCATCATCTAATTATAACTTTTTTTTTATTAAATTCTTAATTAAAGCTAATTTTTACACACTTACATAAATATACATATCTTCTGACTCATGTTTTCACTATTATCATTTTGTTTTCACTTCTCTCTTCATAACCACAGATACTTTTAAATAAATTGCGATTAATACTGCTTTCACAAATTTTTTGGGTTGAAAATGAATACAATCATGTTACATGTTCCATTTTAATACATATGCATGTCTACATTTTTATTATTTTTAATGTCATGTTTGATTGTTAGTTATTTTTATTCAAGGAGTCTATTGGAAGTTTTAGAACTTAGTTTTCGCGTTTTAGTTTGTTTTTTGTTTTAAAAATTTGAGTTCCATATTGTAGTAAAATGGTTTTAAATATCAATTCAGTTTAAGAAAAACCAATGTCATTTAAAAATCATAGTACTGCATTACTGATCTCAAGTTATTATGTTACCTGTAAACTTTCATTTAAATTTGTTTGGAAAAAATTAAATTCATTGAAATTTGGAATTTTTGTGCTGTTATGTATTTGTTACTAATATGTAGATTCTACAGACTCAAATCCTTCGATACCTCCTTCAATGCCTAGTAATCCGGCATCAGGTTCTATGGGTAATATACCATATCCACAAAACGTTCAAGGAATGCCCATGCCGTATGGCGCTCTACCAAATGCTCCATATCCAACTTACGTTCCACCACCAATGCCGCAAGGATTCAACCCTTATGCAACTTTACCGTACCCAAACTGTGATTATATGCATATATATATTATATTATATTGATTTTTTAAATATATATTTTTTTCAGCTGGTTATTATACCGGTTTCCCTCAAGGGCCTCAACCAGGCCATTATGGTACGTATCCTGGTAGTTACGCTCCACAACAACAAGGTGGATATCCAAATCAAAAACCACCAGGATGGTAAATGCTATATTTAATAATTAAATCGTTAATGCTAAAAGCACAGGTGATGGATTGTTAAGTTGAGCATTTAATTCATTTTATTGTAAGCTGCGTATGTAAAATATATTAAGTTTCGAAAATTTGAAAGTTTAGCATTAAAGATTGTTTAGTTCACATGTTTTAGTTTAATTTATAATTAAAATTTTATTCAATATTATTAACATATTTTAATATTGATTAAAATTTTAATTTATTTACTAAACCTCAAAAAATGTGACAATATAATTCGATATTTTGTATTTTATAAATTAAAATAAAATAAATATTATCTTCATATTATGTGTATATTAATTAACTTTAATAACTGTTATATCTTAAAAGCAAAGTAATATGAATTTGATATAATAAAATTTGTTTAAAATTTTTAATTTTGCACATAAATTTTGAATTTATTTTATGTATGAATTGAAAATTAAAGTAAACACTAATAAAAGAGAAGGAAAATAAATTTTTGTTAGAAAATATCGTCCCCATTTTAACTCTAAAATGAAATAATAGTTATAAAACCCTTTCTCATAATTTTCAAAATAACTCGTCATATAAAAAGTAATTATATGTAAGAGAAAATAAAATGCAAGTAATTTTCTACTATTTTTTCGGAGATTCCATCGTCTTAGTTCAAGATAAAGGTATAAATTTAAAGTAAATCTGTTTGGCCTGATTGTTGTGCTATATCATTTTGATATAACAAATTTCACCGTTGTTAAATTTAAACTCGATTTGCTGGTAGAAAATATGACTATTAAATTAATTTGAACAAAAATAAATATCTTTAACAACTGGATGTTAATCTTTTATTTTCGATTATCCTTGGCGTTTCATTTGCTTTAATATAATACTATACATACTTATTTACATTATGTACATACATACATATATCTGAAATTACAAAAATATCAACCACATATCCATATGTATGTACATATATCCATACATACATATTTACATTGCTCCTTTCAAATCTGAAAAAGATACTGGTACTTACTTGTAAAGGGACTATATTGTAGTTGTACATATTTATGAAAACAGGTACGAATGTAGGTAGATTTAGACTGAAAAACAAAAATAAGATTTAAGTTTTCCGATTTTAAGTGTTTATACAAGCAAAAAAAAATCTGCTTAAAAAAAATTTTACAGTTTAAAAAGCAATAATAAAAAATAAAGGTTTGGGTACTGTAAAGACTCTTCTAATACTAGTATGTATTTATGTAATTACATACATATGTGTGTACACATATTATATTGGGATTGGAACATGAGATGACCAATAAAAACTTTTGAAATGATAAAAAGTTGATGTTAAAAAATCTTATTATTGCATCATCCTTATTCGTTCATTAAAGATTTCGAATTGACATTCTAAAAGGATATGCATATCTTAACAATGCTTTAAAAAGTGCATAACTTTATGTAAATAATTGTATATTTTATATAAATAGATAATTTAAATAGGTAATTGAATATTTAAAAAAAAACAATGTATTCAAAAACCATCTGTTTAAATAACGAAAATTCTCTTAAATACATACATAATAATATTGCTCTCTGTAATCACTTCTCTTTTTTGAATTTAAATTGAATACATTTTTATTCTCTTTGTATTATTTTTCCTTTCCATATGAATGAAATACTAGCGAAAAAATTAAGCTTTTCTACTTGGTTCAGTTTCTTTGAGCCTTTTAACAAGTAAATATCTAAATATCGTTAAGAAAAAGGTGAAAAATAATTGAAAAAAAAAAAGAAATAAAATAAATTTTAAGTCTTTTACAGTTACGTAAATTACTCGCATCTAAAACTACGGTAGATTTATTATTCTTAATAAAATTTTATTATAAATGGAATCGTGGTCATACCGACTAAAGGATATTTAAATTGAAAATTATAAGAGCAGAAAATCTGCATGAAAATTATTTACATAAACATATGTATTTGTATATTTTGTGAACAAATAAAATAAAATTGCTAATAAAAAAAACTAAAGTATTCATTAATTTTCTAAATATAAGAGAAAATTTAATAATTGAAATTAAAATAGAATTTTAAGTAATTCTTCTAACGAAAATTATTGCATATAATATGATTTCAAGTGTATTAGAAAATTGTTTACAACTCATTTTAATAATTTTCATTTACACTTGGCTATTATTAACATTAATTATTTATCATTTTAATTCAAAGAAATTAAGAAAAATTATTAAGACGTGTAAGTTGAAGTGTGATTTATTTCAATTTATGCGAATGTTACAACAAACAATTTCATCACAAAGAAATATTTGGATTAAACAATTTGAACTTAAATTTACTTGGCATAATTTAATTGAAATTTTATATTTTGGTATCGAGGACATTGTTTAAAGCAAAAATGGCAGGTATGTACACATTTTAATATGTAATAAAAAAAATATAATGATTTTATTACAAATATAAATTTATATAACAAATTATGAAATAATTTGCCAAATAATATAATAATTAGGCACATACATATTATGTTAGTATGTATGTATTAGTATTTATGTATGCATAAACCCATTATAATATTAAATTGTATAACAAAATCAAAGATGATTTTGCAAAAACTTAAACTAATACAATTTTAAAAATTGTGTTTTTTCTTCTTGTCATATGATAAACTTGCCATAATCAAATCAAAATTAAAAATGAAAAGAAAAAGAGTATTTTATGATGCAGAACTAGAAAATACTCTTAAATTTAGATATGTAAATTATTTTGTATGGCTTTATGTCTTTATGTAGTGGTAAGTGTTAAATTATATGTAGGGGAGGGATGTGTAGTTTTTGTTGCTATAAAATGTTTTATGTAAAAAAACGTTATAAAACGTTTGAAAATTTATTTTAAAATTTTTGATCAGAAATTTGTAACTAATTAAATTCTTTCAAATTTAAATTAGTATCGTAAAAATACTCATAATTTTGTTTATGTTGAAATTTAATAAATAGCGATATTTCAACATGAAAATATCAAAAAATTTTCCGTATAATAAAATGCGTGAAAGCAAAAATAAACTGATGTTTACTAATAATTACATTTATGTACGTACGTACTTATGTGCCTATATAAAATCTTTTAACTTTTATCGATTTTTATAAAACAGTAAAATTTACGATTTTAAATATCTACCTACACAATTAAATTTTTTAATGATGAATAATTTCAAAATCAATGAGTCATCAGGTTCGTACCTATGTACATACATATGTATACATACCTAAGTACAGTTCTTTTATCTATCGCATAATAATTTCGAAAAAGGCAATTGCGGTCTAATCTCTAGATTAAATAATTATAACTACTCATTGATATTGCAGATTCAAGCATTCTTAAAAACAAACAATTTTTTTGCGATTTCAATAGAATTTTCTAGAATTTGCTAGATCACAGAAAAAATTCATTCTGTAGTGTAAATTGTTAAGTTCATTTTAAATTCAAATCTTTGTTAGAATTAAAATTTAATTCTAAAGAAAAGTAATGATTGCAAAAGCAAGTATGTATTTATGTACTTATGTATGACGTGTACCTACTTTCTCTGTAAGTTATACTTATGCATATGAATCAAAACTAATTGCATAGGTTTATTAGTAATTATGCTAAATGCACATACATACATACATATATGTAAATAATAACTTACAAAAATTTTGATATCCTGTAAATTAAACACATTAAACAATTAATTATTGTTATTAATACATAATTTCTTTGTTCAAAAAATATGATGAAATTCTTATCGCCTGTATCTACATACATATGTACATACGTACATACATTTGCAGACATATATTATATTATTTACGTATGTTTTGAATATGTTAACATTTTATGTGCCTATCTACATCTTATACAAAAACGATTTTGTCATAACATTGTTATGTTTTGCATGTTTAAACATGTTTAATCTTTGATTTACTTTACATTATGTACACTATATTCTACTGAAAACCATAATCTTTAAAAAATTCGGTAATTTTTATGCGAATACCTGTTAAAGTACAAGCATTAACAACATAATAAAATCTACTTTATCTCGTAGATTTTATAATGTATTTGCTCTTTCTTTCTATTACCTGTTATGTATTTATTTTCTGTTAAGTTTAATTTCTTTTACATTTTCTAAAGAACTAATTACTAATTTTTGAGATAATTTTTAAATTACTCTCATTTTTCCTCATATACATACATATGTATGTGTATCAGCGTATCTTGCAAACAGAAATATGCAGCACAAATAACAATGAACTTTCGATTTTGAACTTTAATTTGTTGTTGCCGTTGTTGGTCTTTTTTTTCTCTTAGTTCTCTTATTTTTACAATGTATCTTCTATATTCTTCATAATCAAAATCAACTCTTTAAAATAAAAAGTAAAATGTTACTCTTATCGTTTTGTTTATCAGCATTCAGCAAAATTCATTAAACAGCTTATGAGTGTGTACAGTGTTTAATTAAGAGAAAATTTTATTGGATCAAATAATTTTGAAATTGGTTATGAATAAATTCGCAGGAAATTTTTATTAATACGTAAGTACCATAAGAAAAATTTTACCGTAAGATTATAAAAATTCTCATAAACGTAAATTTTTTTACCTTTACAAAAATAATTACAAAACTTCTAATTAAAATTAACATTAATTTTAATCGTGCAAAACCTTGCCGTTCAAAAAATTTACATTATTATAAAATGTCATTTGTACTACATAATTTATTTGTATGTACATATTACTATAAAGTATTTAAAAACACTCATGAATATTTTGAAACAATGACCCCAATATACTCTTTAATATTTACTCTCATATCCTTTTATATTTGAAGTCATTATTCTTTTCAATCATAAAAAAATAAAAATACCCACATTGCAAAAGCACACATATATATAGGTACATATATACATATATGTAAGTTTATATTATATACTCATACCAATAATTTTCATAACAGTATAAGTTGCGCATTAATTCCGGTACTACTTAAATACAAAATCAAAACATAAAACATATGACGCTTTCTTTTTTATTTTTTGTTCAAGGACACAAATATAATACATAGTACATATTTATGTATGTACATACATATGTTTAAATATTTATTTTGTACGTATACGTAAACGTATCATTTATTTTTCACTTACGAAACTTAAAAACTACAAGTCATTGTAATTATTTTTTTTCGATATTCAAAAGCTTTCAAAACAAAAAAAAAACTAACTAAACTTTTTCTATTTAACTTTTTATTTATCAATTTGATGAGTCATTCGT